CACTACAGGCCCTCGGTCCTGCAGGTACACGCGGATGCTCAGGAAGTCGGTGGGGCAGGCCGTCTCGCAGCGCTTGCAACCCACGCAGTCCTCCACTCGCGGGGACGAAGCCACCTGCTTGGCTGCGTTGATAGTGGCCGGGACCATCTCCAGCACATCTGTGGGGCACGCACGGACGCACAGAGTGCAGCCAATGCAGGTGTCGTAGATCTTCACAGCATGGGAACGCCGAGCCAACAGGCTGGCACTCTTTTGGCATCGGCCGGCAGCTCCTGCGGCTGCACCGATGGCCATGCCAGCAGCGGCCATGCCAGCCAGAGCGCCAAAGGACCGAGGGGCATCAGCGCTGGCGCTCAGCCCTGCACCATGCGCAGGCTGCTGCAGCCCAGATTGCACCTGGAAGCCTGCTGGAGCAAAGGCTGCAGGGCTGAAGCGTGCCAGGAGCGCTACGGCTCCGGCTGCCAGGCAAAGGACAATCTGCGACATGGTTGAGCGTGTCGATGCCGGGCTGGGCCTACTTCCGAGCAGCCTTCAAAAACAGCTGCGGCGCGTGGCAGACCGTGTGTGCATGTCATGGTACAGACCGTCCACCTCCAAGTAGACATGAAGCAGTGGCGATGCAACTCAAGTACTTCTTGACTTTGCCCAAGTCTGAACGCCGCGTCTTACATCTGGGAAACACTGGCAAGCTACTACCAGCCGCACGGCTTCAATCGGCGGCAATCTGTTCGCTCAAGATCCGTGGATCATCACCTCAGAGTTTGGCACCAAGCACCCTAAACGCCTGCACACTTCAGGCTTCCACCTGGTCCTTCGTGATGATGGCGGTCACCTCAATCAGGAATTCTGCCACCTGCCAGGAACATCCAGGAACCATACGCACCACACACGCAGCTTCTGATTAAGACAGCAAAAAACACTGCCATCTTCCAGACCTCCTTCCGGATGTCACCCTGGAGCTGCATGACACTGCCATGGTCGGGGTCCTTGATCAGGACTCCGTTGGTCTTGAAGGTCCTGAGCTGCACCAAGGCCGTCGCAAAACCAACGAAGTCCGAAATGTTGGCCAAGCCACTTCTTCAGCGCTCGCAGGATCTTCTCGAAGTCAACTTGCAGGACCTTGCCTCAATCACCAGCGATTTAGCGACTTGAAAAGCATACGGTGCAACGAAGCATCATGCGACGGGAACTTGCGCAGAGGTCACTGTGGCTTTTACCAGCCGCCCCTTGTGCAACCAGAGGGCCGGATTTTGGAAGGCGGACCTGGAAAGGCCAGTGGAGTCTCAGGGGAGCCAAATGGAGCCAAAGGTGAACACTACTTGGAGGATCATGGGACTTAGTAAGTAAGGTTATAAGTCCCCTAATTGGGGTTATAAGTTATAACCCTACTTACTAAGTCCAATGATCCTTTAAGTAGCAGGCTCGCCTGGTCTGGAAAACCCGCGACGGTTGTCCAGGACTTTCGGCCGTTTCGCTGCTGCATGCGGATGTGGACCTGGGCGCACTGGGCACTGGGCCAAAGAACCTGGGAAGGATCTGGGCGGCCTCGCCTTGCTGCCCTTGGCATCATCCTTCCCTTCCAGCATGACATCCATGGCTTCTCGCAGCTTCTAGAGGCCCCGGGGCACCACTGGGATCGGAACTGGAACGCTGAGGAGCCGAAAGCTGTCAGAGATGTGGCCTCTATAGGCTCCATGAGCAACAGAAACCAACTGCTGGGGGTGTCCGGAAAAACAACAGTATCTAGACTCCAGGCTAAAGACGTAGATGTGTGGGCTGTGCCGGCGTTTCGTTCCACGGCTTTGCCTGGGACGCCCGGGAGATCATCCCAATCCCAGAAGGCTCGCAGGCCAGCAGCGGGCGCCATGGCCTAAGGGGAAATGGCCGGCCATGTCAGAGATGAGAAAAGACTTTGAAAAAAAACATGTGTGCAGCTCAGCCAGCAAACTCGGCCGTCTCTGCAACGCGACACGTGTTCTTGGGCCCGGACGTCCAAGCGACACACAGGGCTTTGATTCAAAAGTACATTCAAACTCCCAAAACTGCTGCGGGCCTGCAGGCACGTTTGAAGTCAAGTATCGGCCAGCGGAACAACTGGAGCCATGCTCTAAAGACTGCAGCGGCCAACCTGCACCCCAATGGGGCGGAATGGCTGGAGCAGCTGCATAGCTCTCCAATCTTTCCTATCGAAAAGTGCCGGCCTGCCTTCCGGCTTACACAGGTATGTGGTTTATCTGAAATTCGACACTTCCAGAGGCAGTCACGGGGATTTTGTCTTCCTGCATCTCAGCATTCGGAACTCGACTCGATGAAACCAGTCCTGAGATGACTTGATTTCGGCACTGCAGGCTTCGAGGATGCAAGTGGGAGTTCGTATATAGAGACAGCCATTTGGAGCTATCGGCAAAGCGGGGAGGGCTGCCCTATGAGGCTCCCAGCATTGCCCAAATACTCTGAATATCACTGGCAGATATCAGTGGCTGTCTCATGAAACTGTGAAGTTTGTCCACATCTGGTGCCCATAAATGCTAACGGCAATTTTGGGATCAAAAGCAACTGTTTCAACCTGCTGGACCCTTCATGTTCCCTCTAGTGAATTCCAGCGAAAGCAATCAGGGAGCAGCGCTTTGTCCACCAATTCCTCCAGCGCTAGAAGCAGGATCTGCCCTGGCCTCCACGGAAGCAAATCCTGGTAGCCGCCCTTAGGGCGGCCGCCACAAACGGATACAAACGGCAACTGCCCCTTCGGGGCGCTTAGATAAGCTCGAAACCTGGACACGCGGGAGCATTGCAAGCAACAGAATCCGGGGTCTAAAAGCCGAGGGAAGTCGGCCGAGTGGGGTCGTCCCATTTGCGCTTGGACCCTCCATTTCCTGAAATTCTCTGGCCGGTTACAAGACGGAGGTGGCACGAGCGGAAACCTGCTAATACTGGGCTGCTAGCAATGCTACCGTGTGAGACAGGTGGTGCTTGCGAGCTCATTCGGGGCCAGGCCCATCCTGTCAGGAAACTCTTGCACAGGCTGCCAGACTCAATGACTATACCTCTTCCCAGCACACTGCACACCACGGACACTTCGTATGGCGGCTGCCCTCTCTGTTGCCCTCTCGCTGCAGTCCAAGAGACATAAAGCTGGGCTTGCGCCGAGCTTGCTCGCCGACTGTGTTCGAAACTGCATCCTCGTGCATTGGAAGGGAGCGATCCGATTTTGCTACAGAGCCGACTGGACCGGCGAGAAGGCCACTTTAAATTCTAAAACTTCGCTGCCTCACAGCTGCACGCGGGTGCTGAACAGGTGTAGGAACAGGTCGAATCTGTCCTCGAGGAACAGACACTCCAAAACATGTCGCAGCACGCACGCACACACACACACACAGGCACGAAGAGATGCACACACACACACACACAAATTGACACGCTTGCAAGTTGATCGACCAGTTTCCCTCTCGCCCTGCCAAAAGCTGCGAGATAAAGACTAGCCAACTCTCCTTCCGAAAAGTGAGTAGTGAATTGTGCACACGTCATGCATCCAATTGCGAGCGCCCAAGCGGCCTGACTTGTCAATGGCCGGGCAACAGGACTAACTATGCAAACTTGCGTGTGAGAAGCCCGACGTCGACAGCAGTAGCAGCAACAGGACTGAGCAACTGGAAGCGTACGCTTCTTCTTGCACCAGCTGCAGCCACAGTGACTGAAGGTTTCATACGATGCTGCCACGCTTCAGGGGGAAACGGAAAATTGCTTTTGCGTGCTGACATCACGGAATAGGCTGCCAGCCCCTGCATTCTACAACACGTGTGATGTACAGTTGTGTCATGCGGCATGTGGGAGTGACCCCCGCTGTCCATGGACGATGACAGTTAACACACACACGCACACAATCAGGCTCGACATGGTGATGTCATCCAGTCCATGCTATAATGTAGCACAACTTTCCTGTACTTGTCGGGCTTGCTTGCTTGCTTGCATGTCAGGAAAAAGGCTATCTAGGTGCCAGTGGGACCACTTCTCATCTGGATACCACAGCAGGCTTATCGTTTCCACCAGTTACACGCAACTGTTCAGGCTGGACATCCCATCCACAACGTAGCTTCGTTCCACACGGCAGGCTGTGGATGCGGTGTGCCCCTGCAGACCTGAAGTGTAGAAGCATGCATTTTTCGACAAACGGGAGTAGGCTCAAACACTGATATCTGATAGGCTGAAGCCAAAAACGGTTTTGATAATGATGTGGCATCGAAGGAGCACCTCATACCGGCCAATTGCGGCAACACCTGATTTCAAGAAGACGAAAGTAGATGCAGGCTATGCTCTGTAGTCCGCTTTGCTCCCCCAAGTTCAGGGTCACTCGCAAGACACCACATCCACTCAATCTCCATAGCTTTGTCAGCGTGGCCAGGAGCGAGACCCTGCAATCCGGTGCGATAGCTAAACCCCCGGTGCGACCCTCGGCGGCCTTGTGGTAACATCGCTCACACACACACACACATGCACAGGATCACACACGCACGAATAGACAGACATGAACCCCGACTTCTTGCATGCAGCGCAAATCTCACACCACACTGTTGGTCTTGTTGCTGCGATGCAGGCCTGTTCAAGTCTTGTGTGCTATCCACCGAGTGTCGAAGCTCGGAGAAGAGCCGCCGGCGCTGCGCCGCTTCAGCAGCAATCCTCAGATGACACAATGAATCGCCTGAGAAGTCTTTTCTACCATCCTTCTCGCGGATTACAGGTCGCACCCGTTCACAACCGCGAGCTGTCGGTGCATTTCCTCAGCCAAATCTTGCTGCAGGGCTCTTCCTGTTGAGCTCCGCTCTTTCCCCGTCAGCCGTCTGTTTCACAGCAGTTTCCAGCTTCCTCGGTGTCCGGCCACTCTCTCGAAGTAGCGGTGCTCTCCCCCCTGCTCTGTAACCCTTCAAGCGCGAGCCCAGGCTGCTCCCGGCGCATGGCCGCTTCCGCGGCGGCACGCAATGTTGCAGAGGCCGGCGAAGGCTGCAGTGCTGACGCTGCCTCCTACGAAGAGGACAACAGCTCCGGAACGTTTCTGACAGGAATCTTGCATCTAAGCGGAACAAGAATAAGCAAAGGAAGGGTGACAAACCAGCTCTCGATACTGAAGATCATGCTACTCAACCTGAACAGACGAGCGGCGGCATTCTTCATGAGGAGATGATAGGTCAGCTTCCTGGCCTGGGCAATGGTTTCATCCACTGCCACTATGTGATTACATGCCTGTCAGAACACCTCCTGCAGCTGTAACTCAAACACATCTCCGCCAGGTCTAGCAGCTCAAGCACAAGCAAGAGCATGCAGTAGCAGGAGGATAGGAGCAGGAGGGTAGGCAAGAGCGAGAGAGGCAGACAACAACACGACAACGACAAGCTTTCGCCGGGCTCCTGCTGCCGTGCTACTGCTGCTGCAGCTGCTGCTGCTTCTGTGCTGCTCCCTCCTGCCGCTGCTTGTTTTTTAACTGTGTGGGACTGTGGCCTTTGTTCCTATCTTGCCACAGCCGCATGAACACCCGTCACCAGTTGACACCTTGATCGTCTAACTTCCACTGTGGCTAGTTCTTGTACTGGTTGGTGCTACTACTACTGCTACTACGCTGCTGCCGCTGTTACTATTACTACTACTACAACGACTACTACTACTACTACTACTACTACTACTACTGCTGCTTCTACTACTACTACCCCTGCTGCTGCTGCTGCTGCTGCTGCTGCTGCTGCTGCTACTACTACTACTACTACTACTACTACCACTGCTTCTGCTACTTGCCCCAGGCTGTCAACGAAGTCAAACAGCAACCGACAAGTTGAAACATCAGTGATGCGGAAACAATGTATTGTACAAGACTGCACGACTCATGCAACGACTTCTCCTTAGCTTGAATGCAGCATTGCGCCTCTCCCCTCTTGGCCATGTCCATCTCGTCTGGGCTCAGGTCCATCAAAACCCATCGCATTTGCAGGGCGTCCTCTTTCCTAAGATATCTTCCAGCTTAGGGTTCGCGCCGGCGCCCTTACAGAGATACATCTTGTTGCAGAGCTGCTCACATAATCGCGTAAACTCCATACACTGCCCCGGAGATGATGCCTCATCACGCTTTGTTTTGGGTTTCCGATCAATGTGATACAATAATTCGATTCTGGCTGCCTTGTTGAGAATCCGGTTTGCATGTTGTGCTGGTATTTGCTGGGGTAGGCTAGAATCCGGCTTGAAGCTTGGCATGCATCAACCACTGCCCAAAGTGCCTAGAAAGAAAAGCCTTGCGTGCAGGACTTAAAGACTACCGAGAACACTGAAATAGCAGAAGCTCTCCTCCGGTGAAGTACGGCCAAAACATTCTGCAGCGACGTCCTCTAAGACTCTACACATGAACTCGCTACCTTAACACCTTCGGCACATCATGCGTCCCAAGCGCATCAAATGCCATGGCTTCTCCACTGGAAGCTGCTGCCGCGGTCAGTTTGTAGGCATATTGACATGACATGCTGCTGCCGGTTGTTCATGCGTGGGAAGACTGTGGAAGAGCTTGCTCCGTCATGTCATGAACGTGCTGTTATCAGGAGCTGACCTGAAGCCCTCAGCAAAGCCAGAACAAGATGCGATAACGGCGCAAGAACTGGCACAGCTCCCTGCTCCTCCGAATCCAGACAAGAGGCAAGGAAAGCTCCTGCATATCGCAAGATAATGCTGTACCCAGTTCGGCCAGCTTGTGCCAAGCGATGACCATGGTCGTAATTCTACTGCCATCCACTATAAGGCCTGCGCCGTCGGCCGTTCGCGCGGATCTCTTTGCAACAGCCTTGAACTGCTCATCTCCCTTGGCTCTAGGCCTTGATGCAGTCCCTGCACCGTTTCTCAGGCAAAAACGCGTCGAGTGTCGCCAGCTGCTCCTTGGAATACACGGATCTGGCAGATGCCGGATATGTGTACCTGCCGATCGCCATAAATCATCTGCCATATCGTGTAGGGCCCTGGAACATCACCAGCCGGAGCCAAAAGTTTAAAGCATTCCTAAGACATGAGCAAACACTACGCAAATCAACGAACCAATCCATGGTCATGATCGGCCTTGCATGAATGTTCGCGAGCTTGCCCTCCATCGGGAACGCATGCACCCGGAAGAGCATCTGGCGACTGAGTCCGTGGCATTTGGCTGGTAAAAATCCGTGTCGAATGCTTTGTGGACTTCTTATGCACTACAAGAGAAGTTCATACATGATGCCAACGCCAACAGCGATGTGCTAAATGCCTGCCTGGAACAAGGACACACCAAGCATGAACAGGTCGGCCTGCCACCGCTCGGAAGACTGCATCTAGGAATGATCCAGCTAGCATGATCCGGTCAATGCCAGTCAACCGACCTTGCTGGTGATTGGAAAGCGAACAAGGTCCGGGTCCTGAGCGACAGTGGATGGCACATCTTGCACCAAAGGACTAGCTGGAATACGTCAGTACCCACCCTGTGCAAATGACGCATCCGTTGACAGTGCACCGTGCACCAAAACCTTGAAACAACCCGGCAGCGAGCGCAACATCAGCGGCTTACTTCCCGATGCCAGTCGCTCCGAAAAGCTTGGGTGCTCTGCACAGGAAACATGTTGAGATACTCGCTTGATATCTTTTTCACTCACATAGAACGAGCACGCACCATTGGTGAATCCGACAAAAACATCTGTAATTCCAAAATCTACGCCTTCTTCGTGACAGTACTGCACTGTGAACCATCAGCACTAGGCAACCTGCTGCCAACTCTGGTGGCCGAAACATGGGCGTCGTCCGCTGTGTGAAGAACAAGTCCACCTGTAGCAAACCCCAATTTCATGAAGGTCGTGATGTGTCGTGATGAGTTTTTGACTGTGGTTGGACTGGACCTCACCTCCCGCACGACATGGCGTGGCGTTTCCTTGCTGAATTCGGGCCACCTGGGAAATGTTCGGGAAATTAGAAGTCCGTTCTTCGAGAAGGCATCGCGGGGCGGCGGCTGTCGATCACTCGCAGAGCCAAAGTCGCAAAGGCGAAGGTGGCTGCCATGGAAGAGGATATTCTGCAGGAAACCAAGCGGGGCCACATGAGGCATAGCTTGACGAAACATGTCACCCAGTGCTTTTAGGTTGCAACAGTCGGCCTCTGGTTTCAGGTCGTAGTGGACCTCACCATGCAACTTCTCCTCCAGCCCTTCACCGTCCAAACGTTCTGCCAAGGCACAATCCCAAGGCCGTGCAGGAACCTGGACGCTGCTGGCTGGTTGCTTGGAAGACGGCCACTGCCGCAACATGCCGCAATCCTATATATATATATATGTATCTATCTATCTATCTATCTATCTATCTATCTATCTATCTCTATATATATATATATATATATATTATGTATATTATGTATATATCTTTCTGTGCTGCTCTGAAGCGAAAGTCCAGCTGCCGCTTGCCGCACGATGCTCTTCGTTTCCACCTGGATCACCGGGCGCTTACTAACATTTGCCGCTCCACCGGCCGAAAATATCTCGGAACATAACATACATGACGAAGAACGCACTGTCGGCTCCGACCAAGACTTTCGAGATGCAGAGAGCTTGCCGATAGCAGCGAAGGAAACACATCCGTCGAGTCTGGCCTCAGCCATGTTCGGGCAGCACCTTGGAGCAAATACGCCAACTCTCGAAACGCCTCGGTTTCTTCCCCACCGAAACACCCCTCGACACCAGCTCTTGTATGCTAACTCGCTTGATCATGACATGATGAGCACATACAAGTCCTCGTCCAAAACGAGACCGACCCGCAACAAGCTACGAGAATAGCAGAATGTTGTACCAAGCCATTCACCATGCTCGGTCACAGACCCACAAACTCGAAACCACATCTCCATGAACCAAAATATGCCCTTGCATGCCCAAGCACGCAGCTCCGCTTGGCTCAGCATGCAGTATTCCTCAGTGCCCCCATCAATGTGCCCACACTTGGCATAGCCAACATATGCCAGCCTGTTATCTAGTCGAAGGGTCGGTCAAGCAAGTTTCCAGCATCGCACCACTCCATCAAAAGTTGAACCTGCTCAAACAACAAGCATTCATCAAACGCTAAATTGTCTGGACTGGCCCGTTTGTCACGGACTGTTGTGCTGATGCCAAGCCAAACACTGCTATGGGCCATGGCGGAGGCTTCACTGGCATCCGACCTCGGCACCACCTCGACCTTGACCAGACAGCTCCTACCGGTCAACAGGGCACATGCCTCCTGCATCTCCTAATGGCACAGGTGGTATGCCCACTCCTGGTGCGAGAAGTAGCGCACCAGGAACTCTTGCCCTGGCCGCCCGTGGCCCTGCAAACAACCAGACGCAAGCAATCGCTAGCGACAGGATGCGGAGCACAACAAATCGATGTGTAAATCATTGCGGTCCACAAAGTCGGCAATTCTCGAAGAACGGCATGAAAGCACCGGTAAAGAACATCTGAGATACGAACAACTCCGTTCACAAGTTTGCGGAACACCACTTATCGAAGAAAACTGTGAATTCAGATTGACAAAATCTAGCTAGCTGCAGCAAAATGTGCCGTTTAAGGCTTTCCTGCACAGTGCCAGAAACAATTTATTCCACATTCTTTCGAAAAAGAACTTTACCACGATGTGCTGAGGAATTTTGTGGGGACAAGCTGGGCAAGCAATGCAGAAACTGAAACCGCAGATTGAAAAGCCCGAATAATTAAGCATGTCCCTTGCAGTTCAACTGCTGTGAATGCTACCATTTCGCTACTATTACTGTTACAGCGGTACTATAACCGATGGGGACAACACCGGGATATCCGCACCTGAGGCACTCGGGGAACATTCATTTAAAATGTCTTGTCCTGTGAACGCCCGGTTGAAGTTAGACGAACTGTACGATTTGTTGTTGCGCGCATTGTGGGATGGTGATAGTTCGTTGTATCATCATTCAGTGAGCACGAAACAACAACCGGAGTGGTGAAATGACAGCTGCGTGGATGCCTTGCTTGCTCGCAATGTTGCCATGCGGCGTAGATTTCACCGCAACTCAGCCAGTGTTGGCCGCAATTTATGCCCTGACCCCGTTGCCACACAGGAGCAGCTACAGGCTTGCTTGAACGATCTGCTGCTCATGACCACGCAGCTTTCAATCAGCAGCATTGCAACAAGCTACATGCATGCAGGCAAAACGTTCCTTTTCACGGGTGCTGTTCCGCGTGGCTGTGTGAAAAATCTGCGCATGCATGTTGCAGCCGCCGAGAGCTACATTGAATATAGACATGTTGACGCATGCGTGCAAGCAACAAGCTAGAAAACACCACGATAACAAGAAAAGAAAAGGTTACGTGGCGCGTGTACGTAGGCGCATTGAGCGCCCCCCTTCACTTTTGTTCGTAGGTTCGTCATGCACTCCAGCAACGCACGAGATCCAAAGCACCTGGCATCGATAATATCCCGTACAAGGCATCTTGTGTTGACTTGTCGTGGTGGACGGAGGCAATCCTTCAATTATTGGAACTTTGTCGTGCGTGTTGTGCTGTCCCTCCATTCTGGAAGCATGGGGTCGTGATCCCACTTCCCAAAGGGGCCGCAAACAGCAATGACCATGATTCACATGATGGTTACAGGCCTATCACTTTAGCATGTTGTTTCACCAAAATTTTGGAGAGGATGGTGCTGAATAGAACCCACCACATGGTTGACCTTTGTCGTGACGAGTGCCAGGCTGGGTTTCGCTGGGGATCGGACATTCAAATGTATTCACTCCTTGAAACACTGCGTTGGGCTGGGCGGCTGGGAGGCGGCTGCTGGCGGGTGCCTGCAGCCAGTGTGCGTCAGCCAGCAGCTCGTGCAGAGCGGGCGGGTCATCACTACAGATAAGGCATTAACCCCTGGGCCAGCCTGGTTAAGGCATTACG